TGACCTCTCTGCTAATTTTACGAAAACAAAGGACGACTCATGCGTTTTCCTGCTCAGTGTGACATTTCTCATTTTGTGAGCATTACCGCATGCATCTAGCCAGATTATTCCATTGCTTTCCTTTCCTTTTAGTTCCATCATGGGAAATGCCATGTTAAATGTTCATTTATTCTTTACATTAGTCTTTTATATTCATTTTATATTAATTTTTTATTGTTTTTAGTATTAAAATCTATATTTATTCTCTATAAAATGTGTTTTTGGTATGTATTTTGGAGTGTCTAGAACAAATTAATTAGATTTACATTGAGTCATATGGAAATAATTGCCTTGATTTTTGTCAGTTTAGGATGTCACTATTATTTTCAGATGGATTAGCAAGGAAAAACTGAGGTATCACTGAAATTTGTTTGAAGTTGGCCAATGAGTATTTACATTTAATAAAATATAAAAATACAGAAGCTACAAAAATCACCAAAAAAAAAAAAAAAAAATTGGTCAAACTTTACCTATGTGCACCGTCATGGCTGCGCAGTGGGGACCCACATTCTTACCTAACCTATTGTAATTAATGACCAATAATTTGGTAATTTATGAGAATAGGTTAGGTTAGGTTAGGTTAGGTTAGGTTAGAATGTGAGTCCCCACTGAGCAGCCATGATGGTGCATATAAGTAAAGTTTAACCAAAAGATCATCTCTGTAGATAAAGATTGTCGGCAATCGTGAAGACAGATATTAATAAACTTAATCCGGAGTTACGTGTAAAATTAGAGTTACAGACTGTTCCAGCAACAAGTTTTTATTTACCAAACGTTTTTGGCTATCTTAGTAACCATCATCGAGATCAAACACACGTGAAGACTGGTGTTAGAAGACTGTTGGTATCTTCTGCGCTTTTATATTTTATGAAATGTAAATACTGCCAGCCAAACTTCAAATAAATTGTAGAAATTCATACTGTAATTGTCTGTAATAAATTGAGTTCAATAATGCCTGTTTAATGTTATCAGCCGGTTATTGTTATCAAAAGTTGCAAGTGCCAAAAGTGATGACAATAAGCGGATTTCACTGTAATATTGGTTTTCCTTGTTTACTAAAGAAGTAATAATAATAGTTTTATAAACAGACATCGATCAAGCAACTTACCCCGCATTTTCTTGCTCGTGATCAACAAGCTGATGATCGATCTCCATAACTGACGAATTGATCTGATTCTTTTCATCACATGTAATCCTCCTATTCTGTTCATTTAAGAAAATCTCTCTAGCAAAACTATCGCTGTCGTCACTATTATCGTCTAAATAGTCTTGAAACGTCACAGTTTCGTTTATATTAAACACATCCATCTTTAAAGAGTTAACAAAATACCAAACGACAATCTAAATCACAATTATCACACCTTATGACTAAATATGATCTTACGAAGCTTCCGATTGGTTATAATTTTTAAAAATATGAATTAAACTCAGTTTTAATATATTTTTTAAGAATACATTTTTAATTTATTATAACTGAAAAATAATTAATATTTACTATAGCGAAATATTAATATATATTAACTTTAAACGAATTTTGCAACTGAAAATGTTTACTTCTTATTACTGGGAACACCTAGCGTGAAACATGTGCGTATTATTAATTACAGATAAAAGAAAATAATTTTTTTTTTTTTTTGATATTTCTTATACTGTATTTTCGATAAATAAATAATTCATAGTAATATTCATTATTATTTATTATTAATTTAAAAATATTACTTTAAATCATATTTATATTTCTTTAAATTTTCCATTTTAGATAATAACACACCTGAATCAACGGCTGGATGGCCGAGCGGTCAAGTGGGTACGGGTTCGAATCCAAACGGGTCAAACATTCCCAGGAATTTTTCGGAGGTGGTCCGTCCGAATATGTCGGGCCCCGTCCCTCACCACCCGGCCGCCCCATTATGGGCTTGGTCGAATCCATAATGGACTTGCTATAAGAGGCCCTCTTAGTGCACACAGAGCGGAAAGAGTTTTTAAAAAAAAGAAAAAAACACCTGAATTTTCAAAATTAGGAATTAAAAATTGCTTATTTCTTATTTTAAGATAACAAAAAATGTAATTAAACAAATTTAATTAATTATAATTAGTAGGATATCGGATGAGCCTGTTGATCACTGCACATTTTCTCAAATCTTGGAATGAAACTAGACACAGCCATCCTCATTTCCTTCTCCACGTTGATTTTCGTGAATGTTTAGTTTTTATCACAGCGACAAACTCAGTTTCGCACAAATAAAAAGTTGCAAATAGAATTAAGATTCTCTGAGCATTACACTCAGAAGCGATATTCATCTTTTACTGATATCCAAAATTCAGTAAATTCCATGCTGCTAAATTTCGTTTTCAACGTATTGTTGCAAGTTGACTCAGTAAGATTCTATTCTTCTGCAACAGTAAATTCAGATGGAACACTGATATTAAATGGATCTTGAATCCATGCAAATTTATCAATATTATCATTTGAAGATATTTCTCAAACCAGGTGATAAACTGTGATAAATGTTCTTCAAAAATAGATTTCATATCTTGAGAGAAATCAACTTCATTGGAGCCAAAAAACTGTTGCAACATTCTTTTCCTCCATCTTCATTTATTTTTATTTTCCATATTTTAATTTTTTTTATAAAAGCTGAAATTTTCTCAATCGACTTTAAAAGGTACATGTTGCTTCTCTGCAGGCAGAGATTCAGAGAATTCAGCTTTTCAAAAATATCACATAAGTATGGTAGTTTTATCAAAAATCTTCATTCACAAAATTTTCGTCATACTTGTGGTCTTCCTCTTTAAAAAATATATAAATTTCCTGTCTCAATTCAAACGTACGAGACAAAACAATGTTGTGGTAATGTTTTGTACTTTCTCGAAATGCATTATAACAAAGACTTGTGCTCGGATCCCATATCCTCACATAGTTTTTTTGAAAAATCTAGCCTTCAAAGGCAAAGTTTTTATAATGTTTACTACATATTCTAAGGCCTGGTTTTCACATCAAAATATCTGAGTTTTACATTGAGAACTCAGATATTTTGATATGAGTTTTTCCCTGTTAATAACGCAATGGGTCAACAATGCATCAGGATCTTTGCTTCGAAAAAGTGTTTGCAATCCTCCATAACACTCGGACCATTAGTACAGATACCAATGCATTTGGTTCACTCCAAATTATTTTCGGATATAAAAATATCAAGGATCTCAAACAAGTCTTGAACCTTAGCACCAGCAGTGATACTTTTACAAACGAGAAAGTCTTTTACAATGTTATTACTATCTATAAACTGTACATATCAAATCAAGTGAGCATTATTATTATTATCTGTGTCCTCACCTAGCTGCAACCCAAATTACTTCACTTATATTTTTTCAATTAATTCAGTTTAACCTCTTGAACATCAGAGGTCCTTTGCTATGTGCTGTATTCTGCGACTGACGGTGCTGTTGGACAAAGGCACTTTTGAAAGGTGCTTTCCAGCAGACTCACCAAGCATAATGTTCACCGTATCTACAGCAGCCAATGGAATGAGTTTTTCTGCAATGATATAAGGCTCTTTACATTTTGCAATTGTATGTGACAACTTTATTACCGAGTTAATGATTTGCACCAGGTCTGCTAGATGTCGCATCTTATCCCATTGAATTGAACATGGAAGTAAAATAATGAAAATTTTATAATTCGTGGCGCCCCTGGAAGATCGCGGCGCACGCTTTGGGAACCGCTGCGCTGTAACTTTGTGGTTGTTCTTACATAAAAGATTGACTTCAGTGAAACTCTTATTATGTTCGAGCAATAGTAACTACATGCGGATAGGACAACAGGTAAAAAATTTTACACAAGGTACAAAATTTATTCAATTTTACTTATGAAATACTACATCAGACAAATGACACGTTTTCTTAAGGAACGACGAGAGGGCTTTTCTGTAAACTGCTACGCACACGTTCGATGTTCTCGGGAGTTGTTCGTATGGTCTTCCTACGGCCGGTTGACTTTCGATTCGATGCACTGGTAGTTTCACGGAAGTTTTATACGCAATTCAATATTGTTCCACGAGCAGAAATTGGATATCGCGGCTGAATCTTAAAATGTTTACGAAATTCACGTTGCACGCGCACTACAGATTCTCCAACGCGAAAATATCACTCTACCGCGAACGCACGATGTTGCTTCGATCAGTAGTACGCCATGATACTACATAGTAACCTATATGAGATGAAAGTTGACAGTCCGCACTACTAATAGAGGCCACCACCGTCGCTATATGTCGGATTTAACGCGAGTTATTCAACTTTGAAATCGTCAAAACATTGTGAAACACCCTGTACATGATAGGACTATCCAAAACACAATTGTCATGTTAATAAAAGATAGACCTATTTTAATTAATTATTCAAATATTTTAAATTTTTGTGTCAGCTCACTTTAGATACTTCTGGAACCGCTTCTGAGTCCGAGTACCGATAACGTATGGCGACTAAGCAGTCATGCCTCCAAAGGTCATTATCTGATATTACACAAATTGCAAAAATCTTATTTGCGCCACTGGTATAATTAATATTTAGTGCCCACAGGGCTTAGATCTGCAGAATGGCAGAGCGGTCAAGATGGTAGCCTACTGCTCTGGGGGACCCGGAATCTGAATCCAGACGGGTCGAAAAATTCCCAGGAATTTTTTGGGTGTTCTTCCGGATATGTCGGGCTTCGTTTTCACTATTCCACCCGACCACCCCATTGTGGGCTTGGTTGAACCCATAATGGGCTTGCTATAAGAAGCCCTTTTAGTGCTCACAGGGCGAAGAATTAAAAATAAAAGATATATTATATAAATTATATTTTATATACTCTTAATTAATTAATTTAATTATTTGTAACTTGTTAAGATTATTAATAAATTAATACATCTAATTTTTGTAAATTAGTAAACTTATCGTTATTTTATATTTTTATCCGAACGTTAAGTTGGCAACACTTTATTTCAGAAGAGTCAAGAGAATGCTGGGATATTTCTTCTCGTGAAGTGGGTCTGAAAAATGGTGAGTGGAAACGTGTTAAAATCGGTTTTAATCCTTGATTATTTGACTTCATATTTGTTTCAACGCGATATGTATAAATGTATATTATATTTTATATTATATTAGCGTATTTTGGTAAATAAATATGTATGTATTATAAAGAAATTTGAACTTAAAAAATGGCAGATTCTTTCAAGATTTTTTACATTGAGATCGTTGCGTTATGAATTAGGAAGAAACATCTGGAATTAAAATATTTTAATTCCAGTTTTATGTTCTTTTTCACGTTACTTTGTATGAATTAATTTGTTTGAATGTTATGTTCTTTTGTTTAACTGTTCCGTGTAACACATACAGAAAGTGCTGATTTACTCTTTATTCATTCATTATATTACTTAAGTATAATCACGTTTGAAACAAAAGTATAAAATGCTTTTATTAATTTTAGGAAAAATGTTTGTTTCAGATTTATTCATACCAATGTATAGTGACTTAAAAGTTTTTATACAGATAAAACTTCATTCTTTACACACTTAAATCTATGGTAATACAAAGTTAATTGGTATTTTACCATTAATTTTCATACTCAAAGAATAATAATAATTACTTTGTTTTAATAAAAATATAATTTACACTCATCCCTTAAATATTGCTCAGAAATGTAATCATACAGTCTCTTGTATGAAATGCAAGTTATTATGAGACTAATTATTGTAATTGTAAAATAGAAGTTTATGATGATATACTCCAGCCTGAAGTGACCAGATTTACTGAATTTCAATCTGAGATGCTCTTAAAAATTGAAGGTAGGAAATATAGGGTGTGATGATGATATTTGAATGATTTCATTACTTAAATAATGTTCGTGGGTAGCCTGAGGTAGGACGAAGTCGTACCTCTTTTTGATAGGCAAGTTTGGTGAGAACTGCCCACTGGTCAGTGGATGGCTTGTTTATGGGTTTTTCTATCCCGGAAAGTTGGGATTCTTTTGTCAGGTCGAGTGGAGGCGGTGAGAGGGGTTGTCGGTAAGGTGTGAGCGATACTCGAAGTAAAGATGACTTTTAAGAACAAAACAACATTTATATTTGGTCATACCTCTGGTTGATTTGAATTAGTTTCCTAAGATTTGCTTCGGCAAGGTCTGGAACGTCTCCCTGGGGCGAGGTAAGGCATGGACGACTTGGCTCATGTCAGGCGACATCGACCCCCCCCCCCCCCC